CGGAACAGGCTGGATTCAGGAGAAACAAATCATGTATTGATCAAATCGCCACTCTACGGATCATCATTGAACAAAGCTTGGAATGGCAGTCACCTCTCTATCTCAACTTCATCGACTTTGAAAAGGCCTTCGACAGCGTCGATCGAGAGGTCATTTGGAAACTACTTCGCTACTACGGGGTCCCATCGACAATTATACATCTCATCCAACAGTTATACGACAATGCTGCATGCCAAGTAATCCACAACGGGAAACTTACGGAAGCCTTCGAAGTGAGGACGGGAGTGAGGCAAGGCTGTCTACTATCACCAATGATCTTCCTGATTGCAATTGATTGGATAATGCGACAGACAACGGCCAACGAGGGAACAGGCATAAAATGGACTGACACAAAAGACTTGGAGGATCTGGATTTCGCCGATGATATATGTCTGATTTCCCATAAACTGGAAGATATGCAAGTGAAAAGTAACAAGTTGGCAGAAGAAGCATCAAAGATAGGACTTCACGTGAACATAGATAAAACAGAGGTGATGAAGATTCCTAGCCAACATCAACAGCAACAACAACAACAGACAACAATCAGCCAGCATAAATGGGAAGAACCTGAAAGAAACAACCTCCTTCACCTACCTGGGAAGCATCGTCTCAACTACAGGCGGAACTGACGAGGATATCAAAGCCAGAATCGGAAAAGCAAGACAAGCTTTCATTACTCTCAAATCTGTGTGGAGGTCAACAGCACTCAGCATCAAAAATAAGATCCGGATTTTCAACTCCAATGTGAAGTCAGTGCTACTATACGGATCAGAGACTTGGCGAGTCATAAAGAGCATCTCAAACAAACTTCAGACCTTCATTAACAGTTGTCTTCGCTCAATACTCAAGATCAGATGGCCAGAAAAGATCAGCAACAGGGATCTCTGGCATGAGCGAACCAATCAGGAACCGATTGTGAAACAAATAGGCAGGAAGAAATGGAGATGGATTGGCCATACTCTGAGGAAACCATCAAGTGACATCACTAGACAAGCCATTGCTCGAGTGGGACCCGAAAGGGAAGCGGCGAGTTGGTCGTCAGTGCAAGGGTGACTTGGAGGAGGTCATGCGAGGAGGAGATGAAAGCATGTGGACAGACCTGGAGCGGGGTGAAAAAGTTGTCAGAAAACCGAAGGCAATGGAGGTGCGCAGCTGAAGCCCTATGTTCTTCTAGGAACTAAAGGATACAATAATAATAATAATATGCTGGGCATTAACGTCACTAGTAGACTACTAGTAGACACCTATTTCTACTACTCAACGCCCAAAGGTGATTTGGTAAGAAATCAGCTTGGTTGGCAGGACCTATATAAATAACCCCAATCATCACAGTGCCGTTGTTTAAGTTAATGAAGTTAATGGGAGGCCGAGATAGATGAAGAAAAAGTTGCAAACCGTCCTGAATACTTTTGTGATGTCTTATCGTCTGTTCGTACCACCCAAGGGTTTAAAGAAATCACTATCACCAGTAAATGCCCCAACTTATGGTAGATGATGCATTAGCCCTTAAACTACTGTCTTCATTGAAAGCAGGGTCTGACATACTTAACTCTACTCGACTATTGTACTTGGAGGATATGATGTACCAGTTACGGTTTTCTATAGAATGTTTCTGACTCATGTTAGGCCGCCCGGGGACTGAAAGGATGTAATTATAAGACCTATCTTCAAAGAGGGGGACAGGCAGTTGGTATCTAACTAACGGCTTTTAAGTCTGATATGCAATATAGCAAACAATTATAAAATGTCAGCTCTTAGCTCATTTGACTTACTGGCGGTGGGACAGCGTGAATTCCGACGAGGACGGTCCTGCCTAAGAAACTTACTTACTAGGGAAGACTGGGTATTGATCAGGGATGAAAACCTACCGGTGAACGTCATTTTCGTCGATCTTGGTGAAGCATTCGACAAAGTGTCAGCAAACTAAAAGGTTCCGGATTAGACCAATGCCTATGTCCTACTCGGGACCCATGGGGATAATAATGACAGTAATGCATATGTGAATATTTTGGAGACTACCTACTGGGTTAGGGGTGTACTGTCAGAGTGGAAAACAGTATTGAGTAAAGTACCGCAGGGCCCTCTTGTCACTTCTATGATACGTAAACGAACTACGTCTTCATTATTGTTTGTGGACGATATTAGGGAGGGAGAGAGAAACTGTAAATAGTAGTGATAATAGGTCAGTCTTACAAGGTGATCTGAATAAATTAATTGAGTGGTCTAACCTCTGGAGTTTGGAAATTGATTCCAGGTAAAGCGTGGTAATGCCCTTGGATCAGAGGTCTTGCAAGTCGTACTCCTTGGGGGGCACAGAACTGTCAGATGTTAAAGGACGAAACGACTTGGGAATTATTGTAAGCGATGCACATTGTGATGCAGCCGCGGCTAAGGCTTTTCAAAATGCAATGGGCACTTTCAGAAGGCTTTGAAATGACTAGACGAGTATATGTGTAAAGTACTGTGCGCAGTATGCTAGGCTTCATTTAGTACACTGTATGGAATCGGCTAGTCCGTGGTTTATGGAGGCACGTATTTTGGAAATGGTGCAAGGGTAGGAATTAAATTAGGCAGTGATATCTCAAACCTTCCGTATGAGAAGAGGGTGGAGCATTTAAATACGTATAGAACTTAGATTCTAATATATAGTGGTCAATGACTAGAACTCACTACCCTATCAAATAATATCAGCTCAATCGGTAAACGCTCCCAAAGAGAAACTAGATTTCTCTCTCTCTCTCTCTCTCTATATATATATATATATATATATATATATTGCAAGAACTAATACAGGTCACGACAGCCTGATGTCCTGTATTATCTGAATCTCTAATAGATCTGATGGACATAATCATGCCTGTTCATTGTAAGAAAAAGCCTAGTTCTGGTATATGCGGTGAGTAGTGTGAGTAGACCTGTAAAATAACCACTGAGACCATTTTCTAATTTAAAGCAATTGGTTCCCTCTGTGAATTTCGACAAAACAATAAGAAGACGTAGTTTATCTGAAACGTATAATGTATTGGCGCAACACATTTCGGACATTTCTAAGCAATAATGTCTAACCTGGCAACACGATGACTCACTCTGGCTAATAAGAACTACTATATAGGGAAGGGCGCGGATGGGTGAAGGCTGTTACGAGACTGTGGAAGTTGTCGTATAAAAGTCGAGTACGCGGCGTAAATGTACAATGATGCAGCTAGTACACACTGGAGAGTTATTTGTATTTGCTATTTGGCATCCTCTTGTGTTTATCATTGAATTTTTGTGTATATCCATTATCCTCCCGCGCTAAAAATACTGTTCATAGGGGAAGACTTAGTGATGAGTTTGTTATCATTAGGAAGTATTTGATATTTGTTTGCCGAATTCTGTCCGTTCCATCCATTCGGTGGTATCTGTCATGTTCCTCACAGTAACACAAATAGTACTACTAGTCAGAGTAGGAATGTTAATGCCCTCACCGATTTGAGTTTATAATCGCGTCTATCTGAGGTAGACGTTCATTAGTAGACTTTCATAATGTGTTTTGATGTTTACACTGTAAAATGGGATGAATTTTACCTAAGAAGCATAGTGAACTGAAAGCAGGCACAGTAAAAAAAATGCTCAACATGATAGAATAGCACAAAATACAAAAGCTTGGACCTTGTATTGGGTTGTCGACATTCTCGATGTTTAATTGTTCAGACAAACAGTGAAACGCATCGTAAATTTACTTTGGCATCATGGTATGAACACCTTCAGGATTTCCAACGTTGTCACCTCTGACTAGTCTAGTCTCTTGATGTTCAGTGGGTATCCAAACTGCATCACTTCCTTGTGGAACTATTCAGCCCCTAGGTTTTTCATGAGGTAGTTCCGCCACGTCAGGGCGGCTTCAGATGCTTGAAGTCTCAAATTGTCTGACTTCATTAGTTTTTCTATGGCTGTACGGTGGACTAAAGCAAGCTTCTACAGATCACGCTGGGGCTGTAATAGGCATACATTTATTTCACTCGTAATCTGAGTAATACAAGTAGGTGTTAGTCAAAAACTGTGCTCATACTCATTTATTTGACCTATACCACCATTTGTCAAGCTTTGTGCGGATTTGTCAAAGAGTTGGAATTGACTGCTTTAATCACTTAATCTTAAAAAGCATAGTACATGTACAGATTATAAGAATTTGTGTGAAAAGTGGTTATTAATAGTTGTCTCTGAAGGGCATGCTTTATCTGGCTATTTAAATAGTAAATTAAACCTATTGCGTAGAATCTCTTTGCAGTAACAGCGTAATCGACCCTAACATGTGGTTTATTAATTTGAGCACCTATATTTCAACCAGTCGTGTGGGACTTTAGATCGCACTCCACTATTTCATCTTCTGTGACTGAGTAGTAATATTAACCCTAACGTAAAGAAAACTATCGGGGGAGTTTTGTAAGTCTTGGTTCGTATTCGGTTCTGCACTCCCTACAAGGCTAATTTCAGCCCACTATATTGGCTTGGTTGTTATGATGTGATGTTGGTCAGTGATGTAAGCACTAAACCTCCAGTCACTGGCTTATGAGCCCTGACCCGCATCCACTAACCCAGTTTTAGGAGGTCAAGTAGCAATACTAATCCTCACAACAGGCATGATTCATTGTCAACTGCATGGAATTGCAGGGGGTTATTAAGTAACATTCCATTTGTAGTCTCTACTGGAGTCTGGTATGTATAAAAGTAGCTATCCGTATTCTTAGGACTTCTTTCAATCCCATTTTATTCTGCAACCATTTTCGTTCCTGCTTTGTTTAATACTTTTTGTTAGGTTACCTTTGTTGCCTATGTGAACAGATGGTTTAGAATTTTCAGATTAAAAATTTATGCTTGCAGATTATAGTATGTTTAGCATCGAATGCATGCAGTGGTGTAGTGATTCCATGCACCCTTAAGAATTTCCTCTTTGTCTTACCGTTTACTTCATTTTGTAGCATAATGCTGGTCACTGCAATTTGTTTGCGTCGTAGTCATCATGTCTTGAAGTTGGCTAATCAGATGCACAATTCGACACCTTTCGTGAAACCATCTTTATCAAAACAGATTGTTCGATCTTTCCGAATATTCCCGGTAGTCAATAATTCAGTGCGCAGACGTGCAGGACGCATCAATCTAAAAGCAGGATCTGAAGATTCATTCAGTAAGTTCTAGAAGTCATTGCAACCTGTTCTTTTCACCTTTCTGTTCATTTCAATAATTATTGCACTGAGTAGTCTGAGATTTTCGCACTCCAATTCTTCATGGTTCTATCTATGTGAAGTTTTTTTTGATAAAGGTGTTTTTTTACAATTGTGGGGAGTAGACCAATTGTTAAGCGTGAAATCTACACTCAAGGCTTCCTGCCGATTAATTTCTAACATGTAACATCAAATTTTAGTGCACTATAGCGTATCATTGTGTTAATTAGTTTTACTGCACAAAGTTGGTGGGTTTCGAGTAACATGCATTTGGTGACTGCAAGTTACCATTTAACGGCTAATTTACGTACATGGTTTCCATTTACCGGGGAGGCGGGTTAGCCATGACTTGGAATTTTGAAGGGTAAAGTCATATAAACAGTTCCATCTGATTTCACTGAATGAGCTTTATGGGTAACAATTGGAAATCATAAAACCGAGGTTTTCAGCTGCCTGGTAGTTGACTCTTAACATTTAAATGCATACAAACGTTAGTAACCAGTTTCTGATCCTTCCTATATGTCATTGCGTGCGAGTCACGTACCAGATGATTTCCCATTACTTAACGCGTCAGTGGCACAGCGGTTAAGACACTCGCCGATCATTTACATGGTCTGAGGTTCGATCCCCGGCCAACGCACACCTGATATTGATGGTCGGCCTGCTAAATTTGAGCTACCAGTATCACGTGTTGAAAATTCCATACTTGTACCGAAACACTGGGTGGGATCAAGCTATAACAAAATAAAATATAATCTATCATTGATGTCAGTAAAAAGTTTGCATTGGGGAAGAGATCAGCTTTATTGTAAATACACTTCAATAGTTTACATACGATAAGTTTTATCTTTCGATAATTTTGCTTGAAATATTACCAAAACAAAAAACAAACAACTTATCGTTGTGCGTACGCTGTTGAAATATAATTATAGGAAAATATTTGTCGTGTTTTTTCTTTTTCTTTGGGGGTCATTCGTTTTTTTTCCTTCACGTTCCCCAGTGGAACATAGGGCTTGAAGTTTCTGTAGCAGTGTTTAAATTTTACAGGATGGGGTTGCTAGCCTCATGCCCGACCTTTCCTCTTTACCAGTCTTGTTAATGGCTTAGCGAGGTAAACGAGTGCGTCGACCGGGGGTCGAACCCCTTGTCGAATTTTTGGCTTGTAGAATCATAGATATATCATAAGTGATGTGGTTTTGTTCTCTGAGCTGGATGGTTAGTTTGCAAAGCTTTCATCACCTTACTGGGTGACATCTTCAGCGCATACTTCAAATCGAAGTATGCGCTGAAGATGTCACCCAGTAAGGTGATGAAAGCTTTGCAAACTAAACATCCAGCTCAGAGAACAAAACCACATCAAAATCATCCACCTGAGCTACAAATCTTGTCTATCATATATATCATAAGTGTGTGCCAACAATGCATACTGAATTCCTTCAGAAAGAAAATTTCAGTTCAGTCCACCTTACACATCGTAAGGGAAGTCGAAATCAGTTTAAAATAAGCAGTCAGTGTTTGCTTAATGGTTGTTCACTTAATCCATTTGGTTGCAGGTAACATGCACAACGTGCAAGAGCAACTTCAGTTTCATTTTAGAAACTGCTACCAGAGGTCACAGTGTCAAATTTGTGATGTACTACCGGTATTTGTTGATATTGTAAAAGCATCGTTTATCGTCTCAACTACATGAGGAACGGACGAAGATGTCAAATCGAGAATCTGAGAGGCGAGAAACACATTCATCAACCTGATATCAATCTGGAAATCTTCGTCACTCAGCATCACCAACAAAATTCGGATTTTCAATACAAACGTAAAGTCAGTCAGTTCTTCTATACGGTTCAGAATCTTGGCGGGTGGGTCACAAAGAATATTTCCAAAAGGCTGCAGACCTTTATTAACAACTGTCTTCGCTCTGTACTGAAAATCAGATGGCCGGTAAAAATCACCAACAAGAAACTATGGGAACAAACAAAACACAAGAACCAATCGCCCAACAAATATGCAGGAGAAAGTGGAGATGGATCGGACACTCGCTGAGGAGACCGCTGGGTGACATCGCGCTTCAAGCCCTCGAGTGGAACCCGAAATGGAAGCGGCGAGTGGGACGTCCAAGGGTGACATGGAGGAGATGGTGTGAAGAGGAATTGAAAGAGTGTGGACTAACATGGATGCAGGTGAAAAGCACAGCAGAAGACAGAAGTGGCAAGTGGAGACGTGCAGTTGAAGCCCTATGTTCCACTAGGAACCTAAGGGAGCAATAACTAGTTACTGCTTTCCCTCTTATTTTTGCAGCTGTGACTTTTGACTCGAGTCCTAACTTTGAGGTTGTGGCAGCCAAAAAGTATCCCCACCAGAATGAAATGATAGAGAAATAAATCCATCAAAGGCATCCCGAAAAAGCGTGGTGTATCTTTCTTGAAATAGTTATTTGGACTATGGTACATAAACTTACCATCACTGTATTGCTGTCAGAGTTTTGCTCTGCAGCTGAATTTCTTTTAGCTTTCCAAGTACTGTATGTGGTATACTATCATTGTGTGTAGTGGGGTCCTTGTTATTTTCATGTATTTTCTTTTCATTTCGCCAGCTATTGATAAAAACCGAGCTTTAATTGGAGCAGCTGCTGCAGTCGGTATTGGAGGCCTTTGTATTTATGGTTTGACTGCAAAAGATGGTTCGGTTTCGGCGTTTGATCGATCAGTTGCATGGCCAGATTACGTCAGACAGCGTATTCGAGCAACGTATGGTTACTTACTGGGTAGTGCTGCAATAACAGCTGGCTCTACACTCGCCTTTTTCCAGTCTCCGGCTATGTGTCGTTTAATGCTGAGTGGTGGTTGGCTTGCTCCTATTGGAATGGCAATACTAAGTATGGGTGCAGGAGTTGTATGCCAGGTAGGTACCTTTATTATTCATTTGATCATTTTAACTACTATTTTTGTCATGAACATATACCATGTCTCTTGGTTACTGAATCGATATAATGTGCTGAGTTTTAACTTCCCCTTACTGGGTTAGGAATAGGGACCTGTATTGACCTAACAAAGCACAGATAGTTAGTTTGATGGATCAGTAGTTTCTCTCACAATTTGTTTGAATTGTAGTTAAAGCTTATTGGGTGCAACTATCTTCTGTATTAAATAAGAATGAGATTAAGGAATGCAATTTTTCTTATTTTGTACATATTTCAGTGTTGCTTTAATAAATCCCTGTACCATTAAGAAGTGATTTATCCTTTTGTGTGTTGATGCAAGACATCATCCTTAAAGACAAGTTTATTAAGGCCTTAGACATTTAGCCATGATTTCATTATAAAATCGCCATATGAGCATTGCTGAAATTCGACTTATAATCTTATGTAAGATTGAATTACAAAAACCCCAACTGGATGCGATGACTGCGTCTTATTCCACATACCCCTCCGCTTTATGTTAGCACAGCGAAAAAGGAAGTGATATGTAATGTAATCAGACCAAGACGTGTTATATCAATCCTTAAAGTTAGCTGAATGCATGATTACGGTTATAAGCAGTATACCTCAAACCCCGTTAGTAGAGTGGATTAGGCAGATTCACATCCTATCTTCGTATGAATTATATACAATCCTAGTTCTCTTTTTACTCTATCTTTTCTAATTTTTGCCAACCTTTGAACTATAACTTCTCCTTTACTTCTATTTCTCTTTTGTAAAAAATTGTATTTGTAAAATCTCAGCGAGATTAAAAAGTGGGTAATTCCAACGTTTCGTTCGGGAATCTGGTCCGAACTTCTTCAGGGAAATTAATCGAAATTAACATAACAGAGGTTTTTATATAAAAGGAACATTTCTTGCTTTTAAAAACTGTCCAATCATGAGTCATAAAACAAGTATTAACAAGTATAATAAACAAAATTGTACGAGCTGTGATCATAATTTGACCTCGGACTTACAAATATTTGTTTACTTTTGTTAAACACTTTAAACAGAGTGTGTATGTGTGTGTGAGTAAACAATTGTAAAACATTTCATAACGTCTCCATAAGTAGATATAGACAGTCGGGAAACTTTGACCAAGTATTATTAATTAGTGATACTTATCCATTTTTATTTATTAATCAGGATTTCCTATGCGTCAGCTAACATCATACCTTCATGTCTGTTCAAACTGTTAGTATCTAGAATTTTATGGATTAGACGTATTTTCAAAATTATGGTGTTTAGGATTAGAGTTTAGTTGAAGCACCCTGTCGAACTTATTGCTTTGTCTTCTTTCTGAAGATTGAGCTGCTTTATTCAACCTACTGGAGTTGTCAGGTGACTCGACAGATACGGATTTAGGATATGCAATCTCTCTGAGATTTTACAAATATAATTTTTCTAAAATGTCTACTTCTCACTCGGCGCCCAAATATTTTAGAACTATTCTGTCAAATCTTGACGACAGTTCATTTGAATTCTATTTCTCTTGTTTAAAATGCAGACATAAGGTTAAGCAACTTAACCACGTGGTGCTGTGATGCTCGATAATGTTTGTCAGTGTCAATCAATCACTTATCATTAGGTGTATTCCGTAAACCCTAAAAGTTAAAAGCAACAAATAACAGAAGTATTGGTGATATATATGAAACTTAACAGTTACATTTAGTAGAATATGCGCATGCTGTATTTGTGGTGTGTTAAGACCTGGAGTCTATCAAACCTTCCTAATTATAAACGTAACATTGGATGCTTCAGCATCAAATTTAGTTCTGCAACTGAATCAGATCATTGTGGGGTGGGGTGGTGGGGTAGGGAGCGGGTTGGCCATTTACCTTTCCTAGTTTCTTTTCGTTAAACGTCTTAGATTTGCATTATTTACACTCTATCTATCAGTAAGAAGTTTCTATGGTCTCCAATCTCTTAATAATAAGTGCTGCAAACACACACACATTTATAACAAGTGAAAAAGAAATAGAAACGAAATCAAGATAAGATGATCAATATCCCCACACTGAAATACGTCTTCAGGACACTTTGTTAGTGTCATAAGTGAATAGCATTCAATGTGACCAAAAGAAAACTTCGTGATTGTGGATTATTACCATAGTTCTCATCTGTTATACAGGCCAAATATATTGGATTAGGTCAAAAGGATTTCCAAGAAATACAATATCCGAGTTGTCTTTGCAACCTACAAAGCATTATAAGTTTCTGAAAGGACGAAATTCTACAATACAGTTAAGGAATTAAACGCAACTCGTTGTGGATGCACTCCTTCCCACTCCCGAACTAATTTTATTCAGATCGTTAGAGGTCAGTCAGTGCCCTCATTAACTGAAAAGTAACACAAATAATCAGCATTCCAAACACGGTGTTAACGAAACTGGTACTTACGTCACGTATATGGCGTTAATTCACTAGATTGGAAGGTTTTTTTTAATTTTGTTGATAATAATGCCTGCCCCTTTATGCTAATAACTTGATTTTAATGTTTTTGTTTTTGTATTTTTTTTGCAGTCAATTTCTTATCCAGAGTCTGGTCTAGGTGCTAAACACTTGGCGTGGGTCGTATATTCTATTAGTTTGGGTGGAATGTTGATGCCTGTCTGTCTGGTTGGTGGACCAATTCTTACTCAAGCGGCTTTGTACACTGGAGGTATAGTCGGTGGTCTTTCATTGGTTGCGGCGACGGCACCATCAGATCGTTTCCTCAAGTGGGGAGGTCCTTTAGCTATCGGCTTAGGCGTGGTTGTTGTGTCATCAGTTGGTATGTTTTATTGTGAAAATTGTATAATATACAATTGATGTTCTTAAAATGTATTGATTTTAGAATATGTTGAAATAATTATGATTCTAGATGTAGTGTTTTAGATATATTCACAAATATTTTGTTTAATTAGTAGACTGTTTGTAGTATGATAACGTGATTTTACACTTATTCCAATGTCTGTCAACAAAACTAAAGGCATTCAGTGAAGAGTTGCTTTTTGTCTAGCAACTATGTAGAGCGAAATAACACATTACGTAGTACTGATGCTAGATGTAAGGTTTGAGGAAAGTAATGCCAAAATAATTGAATAAATTGTCACCTGGGAACCTGGGATATAGTGCGCATATCCAACGAATACTTTCGTGAACGAGTGTAGTGTTGACCGAATTAAGATTATGTTAAGAAACTGTGGTTTACACAAAATATTCATAAAAGCAACTTTTTGCACAATAGTTGAAAATTAGGATGTTAGCAAACGAATCGTGAGTGTTTTTCATCTTTTCTCATGATTGATATTTTCAACCTCAAGTTTAAATCTTTCAAAACAGTGGCATCTCGATTGACTATCAGTTTAACAAGTTCATATGTTAGGCGTCAAAAAAGTTTCCAATAAGTACTGCTGTACGTCGAAATACGTCCGAGATTACAAGACTATTTATTTTTAGTATATAATAGAACGACACGTTCTTTGAAATCAAGTTTTGGCTTATATTTTTAGTGTCGTTTAAAAACTTATCTTCTATCTCTGCTTGTTTCTTTATTTTTTCAGGTTCCATGTTCCTATCTCCTGTCAGTCGTTTGGGATCTGGTCTGGCGTCTATCAGTCTCTATGGTGGTCTCCTTCTCTTCTCTGGATTTTTGTTATACGACACACAACATGTGATTAAACGTGCAGAGACACATCCACCTCCAAATTTCTATTCCCCTGCTCTGTCTCATCAAATGCGTTTTCAACATCCAGAAACTTTGAAACCATTCGATCCAATCAATAAGTTAGTTCTCTTTTTATGTAAAAACTTGTTTTTTTTTGTGAAGAACATAGTTACGTTGTTTTTGGAAAGCCTTTGTCCTAGGTATGCGGTCACTCTCAAAGCGCATCCGTGATAACATTTCACTTCATATTGCTAACCCTGCCCCCTCAATAAAAGGAAATAAAATGACATATTGTAAATACGCTGAAGTTTAAACTGAAAATTTTTCAGCTAAGTTCTTGTGAATACTGGTGCTCATCAGGGGAGCTTATTTTGGGTTTAGGAGAGATTTATGCTCAGAGCATTTTGATAGAGTGACGACTAATTCCAAAGTTAGAGACTTTGTTGTGTTTATGGGATTTCTAACAGGTTGCTGTCAACAATTCTGTAACAGTAGCGTATTCACTAATCAAAGCATGTAGGTGGTCGCGGTCCTCCAGATCTATGCATTAATGACTTTTATTAAGGGATTGTTGTCGTAAGACTCAAAGTGTTGTCACTATGAGTTCATAGTATTCTGTTTTCTGTATCATTACTTCAGAGAACCCTGTAAAGTCAAACAATCAGTCTAATCACGTGTGTTTATTGTCGGATTTAAGTGCGTCAGTGGCACAGTGGTTAAGACGCTCGCCGACCATGCAAGTGGTCCGACGCACTCCTTTACCTCGCTAAATCTGTAATAAGACTGATATAGAAGAAAGGTTGGGCATGAGGCTAGCAACCCCATCCTGTAAGATTAAACACTACTACAGAAACTCCAAGCCTCTATCTTGAGGCCCTATGTTCCACTGGGAACGTGAAGCAAATAAAAAACAATTGTCGGATTTCAGAACACCATCCTGCATAGTGGTTAAGTAAAGGAGAAATAAAGTCCATTCATAGCTCTTTTATCTCGTCTCGTGTACACAGAATACAAGATTGATGTTAACAAGGCTTTCAAAGTCATCTACCGTATACCAACTAATCTCAACTTCACCTTAAGACTTCGTTTACTACATATTGCAGAGACTGTTTGGATCTGCATTAAGAAACCTAACTTATGCATCCAAAGGAAGATGTTGGTTCAGACGCTTTCCTTATCTTGGCCATCAATGATCCTTAATTTGTTGTAGAAATTTTCTTAATTTTATTTGATATTCTCCTTAGTATTACATTTTTATGCATATTATAACTTAAGCATCTTTCGTGAACTGTAACTTCATTGGTCTTAACAAATCGACAATATTTTAAAGTTTAAAACAATTAATCCCTTTTATAAATTTTGATAGCGTTATTAGAAGACGGAGATTATCTGAAAAATGTGATGTATTGGCGCTATACATTTCGAAAAATCTGATTACACATTTACTTGTCAAGTCAATATATGTATAGAAAGGTTAAATTAAACAAAGTGACAAAAAAAGAATTAGGAAAAATTAACACAAACGTTTGGTAATCCAATCAAATAAGGATTACCAAGGCGGGTCAACTAGTCTCTAAACCTACAATCCATACCGTCCCTAAGAAAAAGGTTTTCATCGAATTACCATATAACAGGGAAATAAACAGCAGGATTTTGAGACAAAAGTTGAATTCGATCATCCGTAGAACCTACTATGCAGCCCAGCTTGTAATTGTGGAAAAGCTAAAAATATGCTTCACTGTAAACCTCAAAAGTGCACAAGTGATTATATCACATCCCACACAATTTACCAATTTTCGTGTGTGTATGTGTGTGGACATACATACATAGGGAGGAGTAATCGCGCTTTGCACGTGAGGGTGGGAGAGCATATCCCAAAATGGTTAGAAAAACAGATGAATTGTGACAAGCCAATAGATGCAGGTGTCTATAGGTAAACATCTAATCGAGATAAAGCATAAGATTGATGTCAGCTCATCTGTGAAAACGCTTAAGGGCGTTTACTGAAGTACGCTGAGGCTATAGCTATTCATAGACTTAAGCCCCCCTTGTGTATTCAAAAACAGTTTGTTATTACTCTTAACCTACCTTGGTAATCATTATATGATTGGATTACCAAACGTTTGTGTTAATTTTTCCTAATTCTTTTTTTGTCACTTTGTTTAATTTAACCTTTCTATATATATATTGACTTGACAAGTAAATGTGTGATCAGATTTTTCGAAATGTATAGCGCCAATACATCACATTTTTCAGATAATCTCCGTCTTCTAATAATGCTATCAAAATATTTAAAAGGCATCATTATTGTTAATGACGATTATTCTAGAGCATTCTATATATATACAGGGAGAGAGAGAGAGAGTCAGAAGAGGTAATTGTCGAGAAAGATATTCTTCGCTCAATTTTTTTGTTTCTAGAAGTTAGGAGCACACAAGCTACTTTGTTACTGTTGGTATGATGTTTCAGATTAGTCTGTGAGGAATAATAGTAATATGTCTAAGGAGAATGTAGATCATTTGCTGATGTGAGCATCAGTTTGCTCTCTATATAGTCAATTAGATACAAATATGAAGCATTTGTTTTGATGAATACTAGTAGACTATTTATTGATTTGTTTTCTCCTCCTTCCACTTTAGTTCCATTCGAATTCTTCTGGATGCTGTGAACATTTTCGTTCGTATGGTCGTAATATTATCAGGCGGTGGACAGCGTAGAAAATGAACACCATCGCATTATACATTCACCAGATATGATTTCATAACTTTATTCTTTTGAAATGTAGAAAACTGGTCACATCTGTGTTGTTTGCGTTGATTACAGTGTGTTTTATCACAACACGTAATATAATAAGTTCCATTCCTAAAATTTTATTTGTTTGAAATTATTGATCTGAGTGTATAAGTGACGTCTATTATTTGCTATTGCTTTTTTTGAACTATAAAGCAAGTTATGTTTGATAGTTTATCCTTGTCATTCGTTTACCGATTCCCTCTTCAAATAATTCCAGTTTTCCGTAAGAATTACAGTAACTCAGCTCTTTGCGCCTTTAAACTTAGATCACACGGTTAGTGTAGTATGCTACGTAAACTGATATTGAAGGATACTTTATCCAAATTAGGAAAATAATTCTCTTTTATTGTTGAACATTATGTAGTGAATACTTGCAGTTCAGTTTGTTGTAGTTGTGATAGCTTCTTCGTTACAAGAGTTCAAGTTTCCACTAGTAGACCTAGGTGTAGTCTTCAACATACCGTCTTTAAGAAGTTGGATATTTCTCAGTGGCAGTATAGCCTATAATCCTTTATATAGGATCACTTTTCGTTTTTGCGAATTCTCTGATTCATTCTTCTACTTACGACTACTTACCTTATTCCGAATAATTATTGGTGCTTAGGCTATTGTATACTGTGTTTAATTGATTTCCATGTACACTATCAGTGTATTCGTGTTTGTTTCTTGTGCTTAGTCTTGTTTAAACAGTTGAGGTATGTTAGTTCCTATCGAACAGGTGTTAACATCTTCCCACTGCGTATTTTCTTGCATCCTTTTGTTTATCGATTTAATGTTGTACTCGTGATTCATTCTTGCACTGACAGTCAGTTGTGTCTATGTAACATTTCGTCATGGTCATTACTTAGCTCCAAAAATCCTTTCTAGTCCATGTAACTCTTTAGTGCTCGTTGTTCTACTGTTGGGAGTAGCAAGGACGATCTACTTAAATCTTTTGTGCGTTAACTCAAGTAATACTTATGTAGGGAGAGGAAGTTATGTCGGTCATAGCGCGCGTGCATTGGCTTTGAAAGCAACTGGTGCATCTAGCATCAGTTGTAAGCTGTTGCAGTATGTCAGGGTTACCTACAGCAACTGACGTGGTGTCAGTGAGTGTGGTTTGCGGTGTAGATAGTAGGCCGGTCAGAAATATGCTAAGGCGCCTTAAGCCATTGGTGCGTAACATTAAGAAACAGTTGTTCTGATCAGTAGCAGTATTTTCTTTTCCGAAGTGTAGCACTAATGACGAAACACTCAGTGAGACACTGAAGTGCCATAAATTTCCCTGGCACAAACAATTCACATTCGATTTGTTTTGAAGACTCAGACGAGAACCGAGTTGGGAAACTAAATAGATAGTATGATACAATTCGAGGGTTTATGTGTTTTTCACCAGGGGGCAGAGTTATCGTCATTGTATCCATTTTTAAAATGGTTGGAATATTTATTTTGTGGGAGAAAGATACTTTTCATCAGGTCTGGTTCTAAACATTGTCAGTGTGATATTTCTTTGTAGCTGTTTGAAATTTGATTGACTCTTTATGTCATGTGATTCTCCGAATACCATTCATCAGTGTGTTTTTGAAATGACACTTATTGCATCTTTGCGTCATCATTGAGTGGACTTCGTTTTGCCATGAACTAGTCCCGTGATTGGGGTTTGGTTTTAACTAATAAGAGCAACTGGTGGTTGTAATTTTGTTTGTGTTAGCTGATATCTGAGTGCAGTGGTTCACTTTGCACAAGTCTGTGAATGATTCATGAGTATTTCTTGTAGGGTGGACAATATTTCTCAAACTAACAAGCTATTGGCCTACTGTTCAAATACTTATTTACAAAGTATAAATTAGTTGTCTTTCGAATAATTCTATTTATGTTTTCCAGAATAGATCTGCGGTAGTGGTTGGGGAACTTTTTTGTCCTTTATAAAACTAAGAATGTGGGTAGGTGTTCGATGATACGTTTGAATAACAAACACTGGGTACGGCCGACATACCTAGTTCCACACGAGCAGGTGACTTGGTATACACACATTGGTGAGGCCGGCCAACAGTGAATTATTGGTTTCGTAAAGAAAGTTATTCGAGGTTCAGCTGTGACGAAGGTTTTCGTCAGTGAGCAGGACAGGCGGTATATTAGTATTTATGATGATGAGTCTCCGTTGAATTATAGACTGAAGTGGAGACTTTTTTTGGGAGCAGACAGTGTGGGTGGCTTAAGTGGGTTTAGGTGTCATGGATTTCGTGATGAAACCTTCTGGCTACGCAGGACGTAATTTTCTGATATTGAAAAAAACCACTGTACTAGACGTGTTTTATAATGCTTCATGGATAGTGATAATGTGTGCATCAGACGGCTTTTGCATTTACTTGAAAGAATTGATGTTCAAACTTTATTTTCTTAGATGAAACAGTATCACATGAAGTAGGCTATGCATTCTAGAAGGGGGTGAGGTTGTAGTCCACGACTATTAAGTTGCTGGTTTACATTCATTCCATCTTCAATGAATGCAGCGAATAAGAATGTAATGAGTTAACATTAAGTTTGAAAAGCTTATCCAACCAAATTATGACGTCCACCAAGTCTCTAAATCATATAAGAGCATAGACTGACTTATTATTGATGTTGAAAATTCAACTTTCGTTGCTTGTGCTGATTACTGTGGGTGTCTCCACACAGGTTTCAGAGTAATGAGCGCCTCTCTTGGTTTCCTGATGTTCCTATGTTAACTTGAAGTCCTGTGTGAGCTGAATCTTTCACCAGTTTGTTCGTTTGCGCTTGTATATCTCCGAGTTAGTGCAACAGTTTGTAGCAGCTGGTATTCAACAACGATTGAGACATTTGGTTGCTTAATTATGCGGACAGTCCTTTGGCATTTAAGCGAACATTAGATTTTATAACAGAATACTCAGTTACTCTCTGCTGTTCATTGAATATTATGCATACATGAGACAGTTTTTGGAGAATTTCGAAAATTTCAGTGATGTTTTCTCTACTCAGTGAGTTATATTATTCTACCCACTTATTATTTAAAGGAAGTAGTCAAACTGGAGGTATATTGAAAACATCTCTGTGAAGAAAATCCATTTGTTGGTAAGACCCTCTTAGAAAGCAGATTGTTATTAAGTGCAAGGGCATATCGGGGTTGAGTGTGAAATTAAAACTTGTATTTGGACAGGATATGGACCGATAACCTCTATCTTACTATCCCAAGATTATACCAAGTTAACATACAAGATTTATTTGTCAACCAAGTATTGTGAATTGCAGTCAAGCTTATTTCTGTGCATTCTTGTGATATTCAGTCAAGTAGAATCTGAGAAAAAATGAAAGCTGTTGTTTTTAAAATAGCTAAATGACCACTATGACTGTGAGTAGCCAACAGTACAGGATAATATATAGAGTGAGCTGATATTTGAGCACTGAATTTAGTTAGACAGGAACACCATCCTACTCTACTGAGTTATAGTTGGTGTTCACACGAGATAGACTGAATAAGAGTTACTTCCACATATATAACTAAAGTAGTGCAAGTTGTTATCATAAATGTAAAAAGTTAAATGCAAACAGTTTAATGCTAATTTTACAGAATCCCTTATTATAATATCAGTCGAAGGAAGTTGATTTGACCGAAACAGTTAAATCAATCCAAGTGGACTTCCCCGTCAGCGATTACACTTCGACGATGTATTTAACAGACAATATTGTGAAACTTCAAATTGTAGAATTAAGGAAGCAACAAGTGAAGTAATTCCTTGAAATGATTATCAAGGATGACTGTGAATACCAGATCGCCGACTGTAAAGGAGAAGTGATAAGTAACTCAATCAGCGAACCAACCAACCATGAACATATTGATCATCGTATATGCAGGAGACAGAGATTGACTAAGTAAATGCTAAGTGGCGGGGATATTCAAGTGATATTACTTACACACGAGACCATCAAGTCGAACTCGAATCAGAAGCTAGTATCGGGTTGAGAAATCAAAAGCAACGCGGTGGATATCATGTCAAAATGAAATGAAAGCTCTCTTCATTAACAGAGTGGAAGGGAGGCGTGCCTCTTAAGCTCTTGTCTCATTCGCATCGAAAGGATTCAATAATAGGAATAAAAATAATAAAGGATAACGGTGAAATGAGTGTCTACATTTCATCTCTGGCTGCCCAAATGATGAGTACATTGTCATTATTCAATTTATTGTGCAGTTTCCATTAAAATGTCAACTAGGCAGTATAAGATAATTATAATTTATTGCTTAGATTTTTCAAATAGTAGCTGTTTCTATTGACTATCGTGTTTAAGAACACTGGAACTCTTATCAGAGAAAAACAATCGAGATCTGAAGAGATAAGAAAGTTGTCAGTTTCGAATGCCTTTTGTTTTTCTAAAGAAAACACATGACCACATACTCTCACATGAGATAGTCAAGGCTGATTTTATTTTACTTCTCGAGGAGTAGACATCACTGAGGCCCACATTCTATTTCTCTATATAGAGTGAAAAATAAATTTTAGAAACTTCAAACGAAACGAAAACTAACAGTATTTGATGATTATAGTAGTAGTTTGTTGCAAGATTGTTTGCATTAAGAATCTACTAAATATTGTAGGTGACTGGATAATGAGATGTGAATGTTGGCCTTAGTCTTCGAATGGAGTGGATAGATTTTGTTTGGATTTGAACAGCGAGTAGCAATCTATGTGGCGTTATTCCTCGTGATAGTTTTATTGTCGGAATATTTTGTGTTGAGTTGTGATCGATGGTGTTTTTTGCTTGACGGTAGTGATTTAATTGTTCTGAGAATGGTTAGTGTGTTGTGTATTATTGATTGGGGACTAGTTGGCAACTAGTGTAGTGTATCTAGTCCTGTGTTTGGTGTATACTGAATTGTATCAGTGACGTTTGTGATATGGTCGCCATTCTATATGGCTCACCGTCAAGGTGCACTT